TGGAATATTTTCAAAGGAACTTGGAAGGATCCATTATCCCCTAAAGCCTTTCTCTTCTTCTCCTTAATGGCTGAAATTCAACCATTGAAAGTGTGTTCCTTGTTCTTAAGACTCATAGTTCTGGATGGATATAGCAGTACTGGTTAATAATACAGAATTCAGATCAAATCAGACTCTGCCCCTTATTAGCTCCATGACTATTTTAAGTTCCTTCAGCTTGTTGAGCCTTACTTTTATCATCTTTAGATAAGAGCTAATCATAAACCTTCCCTCAAGATTGTTGTGAAGTAAATGAGGTGCTTAGTACAGTGTCTGGCACTTAGCAAACATCCTCACTCATTTCACCATTATTAATGAGTACTGTTAATTCTGACTTGGCTTGAATGAGTTTGGAGTTCCAGCCTTAGAATTATCAGGGACCTCATAGATGACTGAGTCCAATCTGCTCATTTTACTAATAGAGGAACTCAGGCACAAAGGGAGGAAGGGACTTTCCCAAGTTCACACAGTGAATAGGAGAACTGAGCACAAAAACCAGATTTGGGCTTCTAGCCCAAACCTCTTTATTACAGCACAGAGCTTGCACTCAAATCCTTCTCTGGGAGCATGTTTTTCTGAGTGGGGAGGAAGGAAGACAGGAAGGGAGGGAAAGAGAGAGCTTTTTGCCTAGACCAAGAGAATGACCTGCTGCAGAAAAGAGAAAGCTGAGGAATAAGGAGGCTGAGTCAGTGACAAGATCAGCATTGCTAACTCAAAGTTGCCTAGCCCTAGGTCTTCATTAGTCTTTCCGAGTGCCTGTGGCTTGAACCAGAGCATAAGCACCCAACAGTGGACAGACTAAGCACAGCTTTTGGATAATAGTAGTTCAGGGCTTCATAACTCATTTAAAAACAAATATTAGAAATGTGATATTTAAAAATCAGAACTTTCTTGCACTTCCTTACATGCGTTAATAAGTTTCATGCATTAACACGTTTTTCACTGGTTTTCATTTTAGTTATTTATTGAGAGAGGTGCATCCTTCTCTCGTCAATGCTTACAACCTTTAAAGTTTAATTCAGTCCTACTGTGGAGCATGGGATTTGTTTTTGTGTAGATGTTCCCCTTTACTTTGCTCTAGTTCTCTCTATAATACTTATTATCTGTTGCGTTACTTTTTAATTTATTTGTTGTTGGCTTCGCTTGCTCTGACTCCAGAGCATAAGCTTTAAAATGGCAAGGATTTTTGTCTGTTATTGTCACCATTTCATTCTCAGTGCCTAGAAGAGTGTCTGGCACATGGTTGACATTCAAGAAATTTGTTAAATAAGTATATTAATGAATTTTGGATCCCCAGTAATTCCTCTAGCCAACTTGTTTCTCAGGAACCTCAGGTTGTCTTGAACTGGGTCTAGGCCAGAAGTCCCAGGATCTCAACTGAGGAAGATGACCCATAGTTTTTGGCCTTGCTACCACCAACTTGAGTGAGGAAGGCAACAACCTGAGAAGCAGACAGCTTGCCCTGGACTAGCAATGGGAAGTGTGAGGGCTCTTTGTGATTAGCTTTTAATCTATAAGATTGGAGCTACTCCATGATAAATAGGAAGGAAAGCTGGCTGCTAGGGTCACACAAGTTACTCCAACCTTTTAGACCTCACACTGGACCCACTTCTCTGAGCTCCTGGACTTACTACCTCTCTGGACGTTTGGGAGAGGACAGCTTCATTCCCAGGCCTCAGAAAGTGCAAGAAGCAAAGCAGTGGGCAGTATGTAGCTCTTCCAAAATCTGAACATGGGGAATATTTTGACTCAGCGGCATGTGCCTTGGTTTTTTCGTTGAAACAAACTGCTTCGAATCTTATAAACCATATCACCAAGTCCACCAGAATCAGGAGACATTTGGGGGAAAAAATTAAAGCCTATAAGAAATGAAAACACAGGCTCCCAGTCCCTGCAGGCAGTTTTGGAAAAAAAAGTTGTCCAGAGAAAGGTGGTACATGTTTTGAACTCAATGGTACACAAGATGATCTCCAGAGAGCAGGACAAAGAAGCTATAGTGCAGAGGCCCTACCATGAGGCAAGGGAGGCTGAGGCTCAAGAGATGATTTACTGTTTACTGACCCTGCTTCAGACAGTCATATGAATTAACCAGACTCCTTTTTTAAGATGCAAACACCAAGGGGAGAATCAAAAGCAGTCAGGGAGGTGGGGATGAGAGTGGAGAAGGATCAATTGTTCACACCTTAGTGTGAATCTGTTCAACTTGTCACTGTCTTGACAGAGGTTTATGCATTGTTTTAGTCCAGAAAGAAGCAATATTTCTTGAGAGAGTGGGCAGAGATGTTGGAAAGCACAAGGGCCACAGGGAAAACAGGTAGAGAGTGTGAAGTTTGGGAAACCATACCAAACATACAGTACAGGTGCTCGGGGATGGAGACAGAAGGTGGAAGAGGGCAGTTAGGGATGTGAAACAAATGACCTCTGTCCCCATTGTTTCTGAGGACCTGGCCTAAGGGATCATTAATAGCAAAGTTCCTCTAATTTTAAATGTAGCCTAGGGCTAATCATGCTGGTCATGATGTCAGAAAAGGCAGTGTTTGTTGTCATCTCATGGGGAACCAATGCACAGTGTAGTGCTTGAGATGCTGACACTGCTTTCCCTGAGAGCAGTGACACTGCTTCCCATCATACATGAGCATGATGATCAGGATTGTCTGTGTTGCCACTCTGACCACCATCTATTCTAATTATTGATCTGTCAACCACCTAGCTCTACTCTCATCTTATTGTTGTCATTTGGTCTGTTTGCCCCAACTTTCCTCAAGTTTCCCAGTTGTCATCTTAGAATATTGCAGCAAATCCTAGAAATCAGAGTGAAAAGTCAGCTTGGCTAGCTAAGTCAAAGCCAAGTTGGAACAATCAGGTAAGGAGATAGTTAATCCTTTATCTTAATCCCTGAAAAGTCACCCAGGGATTTGCCATTTGCCGATTCCATATTATCTTTAGATAGCCTCGAAAATGAATTAATGGAATTGACTTGAGAGCAAATACACTCTAATAAGTCCTTTTTTAAAGGAGGGAGGAAAGATAAAGGAGAGATGCCTTCAAGTGCCCATAAATAAAGTTGAATAAATAATTGACCAAAGTATAACTGCTAGATAATCCAAATATATTTTATTATATTTAATAAGCATTTCAAATCCAAGTGGCAATTACAGCTGAAGGATTGCTTTTGCTTTTAAATGTAAAATAAAGTCAATTTTACATTTAGTTATACATTGTGTTGGTTACATTGCTCACATGAGAAGTGTTTATTAATATTAGCAAGTTATATTAACTATAAAATAGAAATTAACTAAAAAGTGAAATATGGAAAATTAAACAAAACTAAACATGGAAATTACACAACAGGAAACTGATTTAAAGTTATATTTTATGTCAACTTCGTTAACATATCCCATTAAATGGTTTGGTGTCATAATCCTTAAATTTCCTAATTTTAAGAGCCAAGGGCACAAACAAAAGTCCACACATAGTTTATACTTACAAGAAACAGAAAAGAAAGAATACTGAAGGAAACAAAAAGATTATTCATACTTTGATAACTAATTTGATCTTACAACATAATCTAACAACTGAACTTTATCCATTTTAACCTAATTTCATCTAACTGAACCTAACGCCTTATATATTTCATCTATAACCTTTCTTCACAAGACAATATAATTCATGATTATTTTTAGGACTTTAGATCATTAGGAAAAAGTAATGCTACTTTTACAAATTCGTTTTTACTATTGTTCCATTGTTTTAGAATTTTTTTCAATTAATTTCTAACCCAGGCACAGATCCAGCAGTTTTTGAAGTTATTAATCATCATGAACACAGATTTTTACTTAAAAGTCATAGTATTTTTAAATCTACATATTATCAGAAAGAAAAACAAAGGTTAATGAGTTTTAAGAATTTGCTTATTGTTTTAGAATTTCTACTTTTTGGTTACTGTTTTATGATTTTTATTCTTTAACCACTCGCTGGCACAAGTTCAGCAGCTTACAGGATGCATCGTTCCTGGAAGTTTTACTTAAAAATTCTTAGCACTTTTAAATTGCCGTAGCATCTAAATATTTTTAAATTTGATTAACGCACATTTTAAGAATATTTTTGTTGTTTTGTGGGGTTTTAATTTTTTTTAATTTGGGGGAGGGTTGTTTTTTGTGTATGTGTATATGTGAGGGTATTTATTTTCATTGCTTCTAACCTGAGCACAAATGTAGCATTTTTCATGCTTATTCATAAGTCTTAATATTCTTTAATTTATACTTCCTTCATTTAAAAAAGAGTTTTAAAATTTTTTTTGTATTTTTGTTGAGTGATAAAAAATTTTTCTCTTCTTTTGTAGATTTAAAATATTGTTATTAATTGTTCTTGAACTGGGTGCCAGTTTAAGAGCTGCCTAGTTGCTCAAAAAATGCAAGTTACAAATTTTTAGTGTGTTTGTTTTATTTATTGTGTAGGGGTTTGTTTTTTCTAGGGTTTCTTTTTCTAATTTGTTCCTGACCTAGGCACAAATTTAGCATCTTTGTAATTTCATTGTGCTCCAAAATTTCATACAAATGACATAGTATTTTTTAAGTTTACAGATCCTTAAAACAAATAGTAATGCAAGTGTTAGGTATTGTTTGGGGGGGTTGTTTTTTGGTTTTTGTGCTTTGGGGAGTGTTTTGCAGTTTTTGTTTTATTTTGGTTTGATATATATATATTTTTATATATGTATACATAAAATATAATTTCAATTTGCTCCCAACTTGGGCACAAATCTAACATAATGTAGCTCCCTGGCTGCATTGTGCTCCAAAGTTTGACATGGAAGAATAAGTATTTTAAAGTAACAGATCTCTACTCACACCTCTAAAAAATGATTAATGAAAGTTTTCAGGAAGTTCTTTTGTTTTCTTTTTCTATTTTTGTTATTATTTTGTTTTAGTTAGTTAGTTAGTTAGTTAGTTAGTTTTGTTTTGTTTTTTCAATTCACTCCTGACCTGGGCACAAAGACAGCAGTTTTCTGGCTTCATTGTGCTCCAAAATTTTATATGGGGAATAAATACTTTATATAACCCAGTCTTTCAAAAGAAAGACAATTGAAAGTTTTTTTTTAAAAAAATGTTGACATTGCTTAGGTTTTTTTCACTAACATTTATTTTGTTGTTTTATGTGATTCTCAATTTCACACCATCCAGGCACATATTTAGCAGTTTCTAGCTTTGAAGTTTCACATTAAAATCTTAATGTAGTATAAAAAAAGAAAATTTTAAAAACTGACAGTGCTGGTGATTGTAAATGTGTAAATCCTGTTAATTTTCTGTTTCTTCCCACCCACATTCATACAAACACATTTTCTTTTCTGTTTTCAAAATTCACATAACAAATTTCTCCAACTCTTTTAAATTCCATACATTTCTTACTAATAACATTAGGTTAAAATATGTTCTTGTGCTAAAATAAACTCAATGATGGATCAAAAAAGAAAAAAAACAAAAAGACTAGCATATATCAGTAGTAACACAATTTAAAAAAAAAATCCCTGAATTTGTTCTATACTTATAGGCCCAGCCCAATTACCCAATTATCATTGGAATGGAAATACCTCTTTAAAAGTTTTAAAGTAATCTCCATATCACTAAAATCAAGGCCACTGACCACTTACTTATATTATACAATGTGATACAATGAAATTCTAACCCAGCAAAAGAGTTTGGCAATCCATTTTGGTCATGGTAATTAGACTTGACCTATAATTACTGAACAAAACAGCATATCTCTAATAATTGTTCAAACAAACATATCTGACTGTATCTGGAACATTAATATATTCTCAGTATCATTAGCTTCAAATCTTTCATTTATAGCATAGGAAAAATCATAGGAGAAACCATATCTGGACCTGAAGACAATTCTCGTACCTAGAAGGTGGATTCTAGCATTAATTCACCACCATTATTTGTTGTTTGATCACTAACTTCCTCTTGAATAGCCGGAAGGGAAGGCTTTGTGGTCAGAGGTGTCTCAGTCTTAAACAGGGACTCCATCCTGATATGGGTATTGATGTAGAAGGACTTCTGAAAGGACTCAAGGGTGAAGTAATAGATGAAAGGGTCAAAGCAACAGTTTAGAGTTGCAAGACACAAGGTGACTGGATACATGATCTTTGCAAATCTTTCCAACAAGCAATTAGTAATGGCTTGGGAGCGCACCAGGGCATATAAGAAGAGGACAGAGTTGTAGGGTACGAAACATACCACAAATACTGCCATGTGAACTGTGATCATCTTCAGCACTTTTTTCTTATTGGTCCCAATTTGAGACAGAGTAGCAGGCTTGCGAAGGGTTCTCAGCACCACAGAAGAGCAAGAGACATTCAATATCAAAGGAATGATGAACCCAACAACTTCAATAAATATGGTGATCTTGGATAGATAAGTCTTCCAGACACGTTTGGAGAAGCCCTCAAAGCAGGTGGTGGTTGCGTTGTTGACATTAGTGGTGGAGAACAAAGAGGCTGAAATACCACCACTGAGGACTAGGATCCAGACTCCAGCACACACAATGGCAGAATTCCTCCTAGTCCTAATGGTACGAGATCGGAAGGGATAGACAATGGCCAGGAAACGATCCACACTAATACAGGTGAGGAAGAGCATGCTCCCATAGATATTGGTGAGGAATGCAGTACCAGAGATCTTGCAGAGGGTGTCACCAAAAGGCCAGTGGCGGTTGAAGTTGTAAAATATTTTGAAAGGTAGGGTACAGACAAAGAGCAAATCAGAGAGAGCCAGATTGGTGATAAAAATAGCAGTCTCACTTCTCATTTTCATGCGGAAGCAGAAGACAAACAGAGAGGCACTGTTGGTTATCAGACCCAGGATGAATACAACACTGTAGACAGCACCATTTAGATTATACTTGAAGGAATCATCAACAATGCAAGTATTATTGGCAGTAGCATTGCCCAACCTGGGTCTAAGGCTTGGATTTAAATCTTGGAATTGGAAGTCAATGAATCTTCTATCACCCATGGATTTTTTTCAGGAGGCCTGCTGGCTGCAGGGGTTCACCACTCTGAGACTAGGGACTGGTAGTAAATGTTTTCCTCCTATGAGAGACAAGATGGAATGAATCATCAAATCTGCCTTTTAGCTATGATTTCTGTAGAATAAAAGATATTCTGTCCCCCAGATTGGAAGATAACATGCACATTCAATTTGGCTTGAAAAGTACTTTTTGTGCACCCACTATATGTTAAAAATTACTATCAGAATATGTTGCAGGAGTGGGAGAGTTCACACTCAATACAATAAGTGCAATACTGTAGCATTGCAATGGACATGGACATGAATAAGGTGAAGGTTATCCAACAGTCCAAAAAAAAAAAAAACTGATACTTAAAACCATATTGATACTTTGGAATTTGCATGGCACTTTTTCCAACTTTGAAAATCTTACAAAATCCATGTTTTATTTGATTCCCACAAGAACACCATAAGGTAGGCAGGACAGGAATTATCACCAATTTACAGAAGCAGAAACTGAAGCTTAAGTAATTTAGAATTATAGAATGTCAGAATTAGAAGAGAGTGTAAAATGGTACAGTCAGAACCAGAATTCATATTTTATGTTCCCTAACCCAAGGATTTTTAAGCTATTCTAAATTGTATTGCTCATTCTCCAATATTACTGAACCTCCTTGTTTGAGTATTAGTTCCACTGGGCAAGACTGCGGGTGAATATGGGACCTCCAGGACATGCTCCAAAAATTATCTTACTAAGATCCCAAAGTAAATTTTCGATTCACCTTTTTTCCTCTAAACAAAAGTTCAGATGGCAGGAATCCTTCAGTTAATTAGTGCTTCTAGCTAAAAGTTTTTTCATTGTATCAAATTGTCTTTCTAGAGAGTTAATTCAAACAACAATTTCATCATTTTCCTCCTGCAGATCCTGGTCCTCTTTCCAAGATTTTCTCGTGCTAAACCCTAAGCCTAGGATGTCTTTCTTCTCCCTCTCCCACAGCTCATTCAATCAGATACTTCCATGCCTTCAGCTCCTAAAATGGCCCTGGCCATTAAAGCCTTTTCCTGCCAAATACGAATGAGATATGAGAGGTGGATTTGACATGAACAGCCATCCCACTGTGCACTTCTGATCTGGCCCTTTACACGTCCTCTGCCTGCCACCATTTGTACATGTGGCAGTCATCAACTTAATCGTTTTTGTCGGGTATCTGGTCCAACATTGTTCAAAGGTGCATGTAGAAATCTTAGCAACTTTCCCCTAGGTCAACAGCTGCCATTGAACAGGAGACTGTCTTTCAAATGTGCTCTGTAATACACTATGGACAAGTAGCTGCTGAATGAATTCTTTTGAATGAGGAGAATATGGAATAAAAGTGGTCTTTGTCCCCTGAAATATCCAGTGATGGATTTTTACATGATTATATTTTAAAATGTGAAAGGCGTTTTTCTGAAGTGATTCCTTCTTACGTCACTCTTTCCTTCCAACTCCCAGGAAACAGGTCAAAGGACTTCTGTATATAATAGGGAAGGGAGTGTTGGGTGGGGGGAACCTGACAGAGCTACAAAGGCCTGAAGTCCCTTCAACCAGCATTTGGCTTGAGAAAAAAACTTTTTGGTCTGAGAAAAAAACATTCACTCACTGCAGTGTTTAAAGGGAGGGATGATATTGGAGAATATGGGGTGCAAATCAAAGGGTCGTCATTTTTAATAACTAAAGTTTTCAAGTTAAAATTTGAAAATTGCTATTTTTGAATTCTCATTCAACAAATCTTTATGGAATGCCTCCCCTAAGCCTAACTCTGAGCTAAGATCATATTTCTTCTTGGCCATTTTATGTCATAGGCCCAGCTCAACTTTTGCCAGAAGTGATTTCGATATTCAAAAGCAGAGTACAGCAGGAACCTTGAACATGTAAGGTCCAGGAGGGGGCGAAAGCCAGATGAGGAAGAAAGAAAATAGGTGGAGTGAGTAGGGAGTAGGAAAGGAGATGGGAAAGAAAGCAGAGAAAGAAAAACTAGAAAATTGAGAGAATGAGGGGAAAAGGAGTTAAGGAAAAGTGGAACTTGCTGAGGTGAGATCAGTGCTGCCATCTAATTTGCATTCAGAGTCTTGGGAGGGATTTCCAGTTCATAGTTTTTGCAATCCCATTCTCTCTACCTTGCTTCATTTTACTCCACCCAGGTTTCTCAAATAGAAGAACAGTATGTAATCACTAAGGTCATTGAAGCCAATCAGCAGAAAGAGGAAGAGCCTGGAAAATCTCAGTCAATGATGTTCAACCTCACTTTGAGTGCTATACACCCAAGTTTTTGCAGCTTCTGTGTTTTATCAATAGGGTGGAAGAAGAAAGAAATGGATGCCAAGCTTCTCAACTGCTTAAACTCTTTCAAATACTATTTTTAACACCCTATTTACTATCCATTAGTCCAGCGGCCTTTTTATTTTTTACCCTAAGACCATCATTCACACTTAAAAAGAATTTCATTGTTGAAAAAAATCATCAGAGTCAAAGTAATGTCCCTCTAACATAGCCACACAGTGTAAGGAAATTATAGGACTGCAAAACTCCTAGCATTACAGCCAGGCTTTATTCACTATGATCTGTATGCACCTGCCTTCTACAATAAGTAATGCCAGTAAGTTTGTTTTATTTAGAAAATGCTTTCGTAATAAAAGCCTTTTCGCTTCTACCCAGAGTCCCTCCAGTCTGCCCACTGGAGATCCCCTTACACAGCATGTTTCTAGCTCACTGGCTATGTATTATTTCATGCTTCCCAAGATGGCATATTTCAAGTACGTCTCCACAGTTTTCCATTCAGTTTTTTAAATGATTTTAATCATTTTATCTTATTTTTCACTTATTTTAATTGACAAATCATAATTTGTCATTTATAAAGTACAATGTGGTATTTTGAAATATGTATACCATATGGAGTGATTAAATCAACCTAATTAACATATCCATCCTCTTACTTCACGTTTATTTCCCCTGGAACATACACACTATACCCACAGCAGGCAGTCTGCAAATGCCTGGCACTTCTGTTCTGCAGCCCTGACTAATCAAATCCTGTGGGGGAGAAAGGACCACAGGCAAGAAAGCATTACAGTCTCAATCCTGAAGAGAGGGCATGGGAAAACTGCCACTATGGCCCTATTCATAGCTCTCCCTTGCTTGAACACACACCACCTTTGCTGTCTAGCAGTGAGGGTGTGGTGCTGGGACTTAACACAGCATTGGAAGCAAGGAGTTCTATTTCTGACTCAGACATTGGTTCACTCTGTAACTTGGCTATACTCTTTCTCTTTCCTGTATAAACTTTACCTCAGAGCCTCACAGCTGAGGCTAGGAAGATTCAACAGGGCTTATTAGTAGCTTTATGAGCTTGCCAGTATTCAGCCATACCTAACCACAGAAAAACATTATAGAAGCTTGTTTCCTTCTCTCTACCCTGAAAAAACTGGAAATTTATATCTCCGTTTTTCTTGGTACCCTGAACTTCATTATTAGGAGCACATCCTACTCCTAATGCCATGTATACCTTGTACCTCAGAAAGCCACCCCCCATGAGTTTTAACCATAACTACACAATTTACTCAGGACAATCCAGGAGGGTGCCCCCAAAGTAATATCTCCCATAGAGCTATGATTTAAAAAATCGGACAGGCATTTGGCTCTTGGGCTGATTCTGAAGAAGAACTAGTGATATTCAAAAAACAAGGTCTCTTTTCTGACAGGCTTCCTTTATTTTGACTATAAGAAATAACGCTTCTAACTACCAGATCTCCCTAAATGGCTAACATATTGCATACTGAATGGAGGCAAAGGGCTAACACTTGAGCTTCAGATGAAATGAAGAAAGAAAAATATAGGCTGACACAATTACATTTTCCACCGCAAGCAGCATTAGACTATTGTCTTATGAGTACCTCTGCAGCTAATTATTCCAACAATTAGCCACCTGGTGGGGGGGTTGGAATGTGGAGTTGATATATTTTCAATGACAATGGGCAGGAAGCAGGTCACCTGGAGGTTGACCAAAACGAAATCTGACCCTCAATGAATTTTTAACTTTGACCTACACATATGGAGCCAATTCGGACAGTTCATGGTAGGGTCCACAATTTTATTTTTTTGATTTCTAAAGATAATAAAATATAGGTATATTGTTTGGGGTCTTTGGGGCTCTTGGAGGAAGTAGAGTTAGGCTTTTGGCCCTATAAAGATGAATACCTAAATCATTTCACTTCACTTCATGAAGTACTAAAATTTCAGATGATACATTGAAAACAAAGCTCTAACTTCTGGCATATTTTTATGTCCAGGACCCTAGAAAGGCTATCTTGTTTTGCTCCTTACAGAAGACAGTCTAGATCTAAGGAAGACAAGGCCTTGAAGGCAGAGTATACTCAAATTCTTTTGATTTGCTCCTTTTTTGAATGAGATTGGGTCAGGTCAGAGTGCTTCTGATCCCCAGAGCATTTCCTCTTTCTACTCAGGTCGAAGGTTATGAAAGTTAACACAGTATTTTTCAGAGGAAGCTGAAACCTATTGTGTCCTTGACTATAGATACCTAGCAGTGAAGCAAACTAAAAAATAATACAAATGTTGTGAAAAATATAGCTCAAAACCATCCTTCTGGAAAAATAGGGAATATGCCCAGACTGTTGCTTCTCAAATTAATGGTTCCTAAGAAATAACTTCTGACCAGGCACAGTGGCTCATGCCTGTAATCCCAGCACTTTAGGAGGCTAAGGCAGGAGGATTGTTTGAGGCTGGGAGTTTGGAACCAGCATAGGCAATATAGTGAGACCCAATCTCTAAAAATTGTTTTTGTTTGTTTGTTTGTTTTGGTTTTTTGTTGTTGTTTGTTTTTTTTTAAATAGCAGGGTGTGGTGGCGAATGCCTATAGCCCTAGCTACTAGGAAGGCTGAGGCAGGAGAACCTCTTGAGCCCAGGAGTTCGAAGCTGCAATGAGCTATGATTGCGTTGCCACACTCCAGCCCAGGCAACAGAGTGAGATTCTCTCTCTTTCTCTCTCTCTCTAAAAAAAAAAAAAAAAAAAAAAAACGGAAAAATAAAAAACTACTTAAGGAAACCTTCCGGGTCAAGTCACACGCACAGGTCATAATCATACACATGGTTCCTATTGACATTCCTATGTATTGATTGATGTTTCATAATAGTTTTCAAAACTAAACCTAGCCTTATAACACTCCATATGGAGGAAACCATAAATGTTTCACTCCAAAATGGAACTGGGAAATTGATCTGTATCAGCTTCTTTTATTTCTGATACAAGAAATATGTATTTTAAAAAGGCCTATCTACATTGAATCCGGTTTTCACTGAGATTATTAAGGCTGTGTTGTCCCCCCATTCTATTTGAGGACAACAGGAAATTGACACAGGCTCCAATCTGATGATATTCTATTCTTAGTGATTAACTTGATTTTTTTTTCTTTTCATCAAAAAATACCCCAGTCTCCCACTAACCCTTCACCTGATGATACAGTCCAATCTTTGTGAAATAAGTGGTCTACTGCTCAGCATAATGAGTCAAAGATTGCATCAGCCCTACTAATATACAATTTTCCCTAGTACTTAGTTATAAAGTAAGCCAATTGCAAAGCAATTGCTCAATCTAATATTATGAAATTTTCTGGAATCTTGAGACTCAATATCTCATCTCGGCAGAAGCCCCAAACCTTTTGGGAAAATTTTTGGGTGTTCCTAAAAAAGCACATTTCCAAATTCTACAAGGGTCATACATATCAGCTAGAAATTTGGCTTTTTTCCATATATTTGAACAGCCAAATCAGTTATCAATTTGGACACCAATTTATGTGATACATTTGAACACAGTAATAAAAAACATGACTCCCATCTCTAAAAGCATATTCCAGTGGCACAGTGGGGTTGAGCCAAAGAATCAATATTCATCTATATCAAAATTGCCTGGATTACAATAAACAACTACAATTCCTCAATCAATTCTGGGTCTTTGGATCATATAATCTGTAATAATTTGGAAGTACTGGTTACAAAAAGAACTTGGAGAATGAACTTAAAAATTTGTGGAGAAAGTTATTGTCAGGAGAGTGGTACTCACCACATTAGTTCAAACCAAATTCTAGCGCCAATTTTATCCGAGACTTGAATAATCAGTGAACTTTCTGGAGGCACTGTGGTTAGGTATTTCCTCCAATGGGTGCTGTGAAATAGAATCAGTAACAATAGTGTGCCATACAGAGATATTTTCAATAAAATATGTACCAAGATAATAAGATAGAAAAAAATCATTATATGCTACCAATCAGAGTAAATGAGAGCCAATATATTTTACAATGGTATTTAAATGCATTGCAGATAACAGTTTGTTTTCCAAACCTGTCACTGCTGTGCCATATTTTATTAGTGATATTGACTGAAGTATAAAATCCATGAGTTTGTGTAACCTATAATCATTTAAAGATAACTAATGACAAAAAAAACACAAAAATACTTCCCCCACTTCCATAAAGTAATGTCTTATACTAAAAATAACTGAATAAAAGAGAATTCTTTTTTTTGCCTGAAGTTATATTGGTTCTTTGTTTTTGTGGGTTTTTTTTCCATTTTTTTTTTCCTTTTCTTTTTACCTGGCAACAACTGTTACTCTCGGTCAGGGGCCTCAATAGGGGAAGAGGAAAGAAAATTGGAACAAGTGGGGACTCCACTGCCTTGTCTCTTACCTAATTTCTTTCCCCCTGAACTAGAGTGATATGAGCAAGGCTTCGATTACTGGGTATTAGCAGACTGACAATCACTGCGTCTTTACCAGGATGCCCATCCAACATAGCATGTCTGTAACAGCTTCAATTCACAGCTCTGCCTAAAATATTTCCATAGAACCAGAAATACTCTGCAATGGCATTCTAACAAGTAGCACGTGCATTTAGATCCTACTTACTGCAGGGCCTCTACCTGTAAAGTAGAATCATCTGCTAGTGTCAAACTTATACTGTTGTTACATCTCACACTCTTCTGAACAAAGGTGGCCTAAAACAAAGCAGACTGCTAAATAGTACTCCAACTCTCCTGCAATGATTTTTCTCTAATCTAAAAGAACCAAAGAAAAAAAAATTAGACAATTTAAATACACTGAGATCACCTTAATATTAAGGAGAATTGATTTTCATATTCCTCCAGAGAGCTGTATTCCTGTAATGAAATGAATATTATTTTATTGGTTTATCTTAAAGGAAGATAGAAACATTAACCTTTTTTTCTTTTATGGTTTTCACAGTTGATACAGATTATACAGAAAACTTTTTATTTGAAATCTGAGCAAACTGGGAAGTTCAAATGCCTGGAAGTTTTCATATCTCATGTTACTATCAGGCACATCCCCATAACAAACTGTGTGAGAGCAAGTCACAGTCTCTTTCTGGGCCTCAGTTTCTCTTCTCCTTCTACCTTTGGCTTTGACTGACAGAAGCCTTCAACTGGTGCCACGGTGGTAGCCTCACTGGCTGTTCTCTCCTGTCAGTTATTTTCACCTGCTTTCGTTAGTCGGTGCATAATAAATATTTTTAATCCCCAAAGTCTACAATGAGGATCATTAATTTTTATTAGGCCCAATGAAACAACTGCTAAATTTATTTGACTATCAGAAATAAATCTCATTAATTAGTGCCAGAAGCTAAGAATCACAGAGCAAGATGCCACTTATACTCTAAAGTCTTTCAAATGCCCTCATTTTCCTTATCCTCTGTCCTGCCCATTTCAGCAGGCATGTCAACTCTAATTGTCTAGGTCTCAATCCTCGACCCTTCATACCTGTTTCCTGATCATCTCTGCCCCTCAAAATATGAGCTTATCAGCATACTTCAGAACATAACCACATAGAATCAGTAGACTACTTACTCTTCGCTTTATTCTGACATTATTTATCTACTAAAAGTGAGTCTGGATTCCCAGTGGCGGGTGGCCTTCTATCAAGCTCCTCATTTTCAGTATCAATATTCACAAACACGTTATAGATTTTGTTTTCCCCCTTAAGAAAGCCAAGAGTGTGACAATATATGATGATCATACACACAGACAAAAAGCAGCTACACAGATTAGGCCCGGACCAAACCACAGCAAGAACAATTCCCACTGCATTTTCCCTCAAAGGCAATTGAATAGATCAAGCTTTAGCTAAGCTTGACCTGAGTGTTGCTGTGAGGCATCTTCCCAGCCCTCTCTTTAGCTTACAGAGAGTACACATTCTGAAAGGCTGGCCTGATTGTTCCAATAGGGCTTTCATTCGCATCTCTGATTGGCAGATGTTTTAGAATGCAGATACCATCAAGTTTATCAGCTGAACCCATCCTCCTTAGCAAGAGTGCAACTTTTCATCTATGACAAGGCAAAGGGATTTGTATTCTATGTTGCTTGGAATTTTGTTCTGAAAAATAAACATGTTGCAGAGCCACTGAATAATTTGGACCTTAGGTTATTATTGTTGTCTTCATGTTAGTCAAGGTAAAAGAAAGGTGGTATAATTTGGTAAGGTAGCAAAGCAAAGAACCCCACCAAGCTCTGAAATGCTCTAACATTTGGATTTGTTTGGTCTTTATCCACAATGAAATAATGATAAATTACATTGCTATATTACCTAAAACAAAGTAAAATACAGTACATATCAATTCAATAAGATCTTTTTACTAAAAACCTTAAAAATATTCAGGATATATAAGAAGAGAATTTTAAAGATGTCACATTGTTGCATTTGTATGGCAAACAGCAATTAATTTCATATATCATAGCAAATTCAATTTATATTAGAATTAGTTTTTCATTCAAACATGATTCTTCTTTTATGGGCAAGTTCATGAATTATTCAATATAGCAAATGTCACATTCTCCATAAATCAATTAAGCAGCAAAGGCATGTCCTGTATAGTTTTACTAGAAGAAACCTCATCATAACAGAATTCACGTTAGCTCACAATGAATTGTAAACCAAAGAAATAAAAACCTAGCCAAAAGAGTTTCTAAATTGTTCTACCCTATGATTTTAAATCAGCTCTTTGGAGCAACTGTGTTTACATGAAACAACAGTCTGAAAATCCTGTATCTCTTTAACGGAAGCTATATTATTGCCAAAACAATAGAAATTCTTGTTTTTTACCATCCAACACGACGATCCTTGTTCAGTACTTCAGAGCTGAAGTCTAACTTCTTTCCACAAACACTCAAAGCATCAGTGTTTCCACTGGTTTGTTACGCCATCCCCCCACCCCCAAACGCCCAAATCGAATCTTTCTCAAAGAGAGACTTACCCCAAGAAAGAGAGTGCTAGATGAGAGAATGTGCTCATGCCTGTAGACAATTAGCTAATAAACACGTAAACGGACAACTCGCACTTTGGAAGTGCATATTTTTATCCATTTTTTTTTTTTAAACAGGGAAAGGTTAGCCGAGCCCAAAGTAGCAGTCTCTGGGCTCCCGCAGCTTCTCACTGCAAACCGCTCATTCTGAAAATGTGAGCTTATTTACATTTATCTCTTTCCCTTTGTTAAGGACTGGCCCTCTTGAAAGCTGTAGCCGGCATGCCTTTAACAAACAGGACACAAGAAAAGGCCCAAACTCAGGGCTGTATCCGAGGGCTGGGGGAACTCTTGGGGGTCTCAATAGGAAATGCTTTTCATTGGATAAGGAGGCATTATTAGGAGTGGAGATCCCGCCCAATCCCCTGTGCTCCATCGTTCTCTTAGTCACCAATCACTGGACTGAAGAAGTTTTTCCTTAAAGAGCATTGCCCAGGAAAAGCAGTTTCACAGTCAAGAATTAGTGGCTTAAGTGCCACTTGACAATATAAAAAGTGTCTTTCCTGACTAATTAATTCACAGAGAAAGCCTGTGTGCCTGTCTTTGCTGCGGGACCCACCGCTACCCCCTTACAATTCTAATGAGGAGGAGGAGGAGACAAAACTCCAAACTGGGAGGAGTGTTTCAATTATGGGTAGCGCATGTTTGTTCCTAGTTGCTTAAAATAATTGCATCACAGTACTGATAATAATAAGTAGAGGGCAGGGAAAAGGCAAAAGTGAAAGATACCATACACAAATTCCTGTTATACTGTGCAAAATTAAACCTCCCACCACCACAAAAATAAAATAAAATTCAATACCATATTCACTAACTTAAGCCAGTGAACTGCCCTCAGATGGAGAGGTACTGGGGTCCCCAGAGCTCTGACACCCACCTTCCATGGACTAGGAAGTGCTCTGTGGCAAAAGGAGGGTCTATACTTTTAAATAACTGCCTGGCAGGAAGCCTAATTACCATGAAATTTTCAGTGGTTTGCTAAAAAACCAAAATAAATAGTACACATGCAATATGCTTATAATAGGGAGCTATGGCCAACTGTATACCTCCTCCCCCCAACCCCACAAGTTTTTTTCCTGTATGTTGACTACCTTGGTTATGCACACTGTTTTTTTTCCTCCCCTATCGTCTTTCTTTTTCCCTCCCTCTCTCTGATCTGAATTTGTTGCAGAAACTCACTTATCCATCTGTAACTTCATTGCTAGCCCTTCTCCTCTGCCAATCCCCCAACCCTTCTCCCCTCTGCCTCCACCCACTGCCAACACCACCACCAACAGCAACCCCTCCCCCTTCTCTGGAATGAAACTCTTTGGCCAGGGATAAGGTTCTTTCTTTCCCTGGGCAGAGCCATGCCTCTGGAAAATTGGGGGATCCTGGGCCTGCTTCAAAACTCCAGTCTGTATAATTAAGCTGCCTCCCATATAGGACATGTTTCATGTTTGTTTATTCTCCCTCTTTCTTCAGTTCTATTGTGGCTGTTCTCAGTAACAGTCGAGACCAGTAAACAAGTCAGTGTGAAGTTGACACTAGCCTTATTGCTTGTGACTGACTCTAAAAAACATTTTCTGTTGCTTGCCCTCCCCCTCCTCTTTCTGTTCCTTTCTCACCTTATCTCAGGTATGTCTATTTCTGTCAATTGCTGACATTAACTGTGTCTTCAGGAGTGGGCCTAGACTAGCCCTCAGTGCGTTGTTAATCTACAAGAGAAAGATACAGTCCCTGCCCTGTGGAACTTCGCAGTCTAGGTGAGAGCTTAAAGACACATAAAACAGTGAATACCAAAGGTAAATTTTGAAAAACATACTAAAGCAATTGTATGTAGAATCAGTTCCGTAATAGACCAGAGGATAGAGATGAAGTCCCATGGATAGGGCCAGGAGGGCTTCCCAGAAGAGGTGGGATTTGAACTGAACCCTCATGGATGATTTGGAATTAAATAAACCAAGAAGGAATGGGAATAGCTTTCCAGGTGGCCAAATGATCAAATGCAGGAAGTGTGAAGTAAGAGGAGGTGAGAGGGAGACTGGTTTGTGAAGAGAAAAGAAGAGCAAGGAAAAGATCCTTTGGGAGGAGTGGTCTATTGTAGCAACCCAATGCACTATAGTTATGGAAGAGTTAACCTATAGTCATGGTCACTGTTTATCTGTCTGTATACTAGCTCACTGTCTTTCTCTTCTTTGGATTAATATCCCTCAGTCTTCTGATTCATCTGCTTTCATTTCTCCCTCAGGGACTCAAGTACTTTTCTTGTTAACCTCACGAAAGACTCTTTAGCAGATTTTTTACCATGTCACTGGGTCACATGTCCTTCTAGCATTACTCTTCCTCTCTCATTCTGAGCATCGAACCTCTTTCAGCTCCTAGATATGATTCTCATACCATGGACATTTCCAAGTGCTGTTCCCTCTGCCTGGAGCACTCCCCCCTCCTTAACCTCACCTTCACCAATTTAATTTTTGCTCTTCCTTCAGATTCTATCCCAGTAATTATGCCTTAGGAAACCTTTTCTTAACCCCTAGTTTAGGTCATATCCACTTATTATATGTCTTATAGCATCATGGACCTTTTTTTCATTGCATTCATCACAGGTATAATTTTACGTACTGTTGTGTAATTTATTTGTGTGATAATTTGGTTAATGTTGGTCTCTACCAACTGTAAACTCCAAGAGGATAAGGTACATATCTGCTTAATCCGCAATTGACAACGGCGTTTACAAAAATTCTTCTCCCTGACCTCTTCTCTTGTCCAACCAAAGCAATAGCGTGACTTTTTTTACTTCTCAGCTGAAAACGTGTGCCATTTCACCCATTTGCAGACAAATCTACACTGAGGTGTTATTTTAGGCCTAAAAGTACACACACATAAATAAAAAAACTTCCATGGACAAGAAAGTACCAAATATTATCCACTGCCATCCCCTTTCCTTTTGACCTCACTTCTTGGTGCAAACCTTCTAGTTTTGATTTCTCTAATATTTGTAAGGTGGAAGGGGGAAAATGAAAGCTTTTCCAGAGTTCTCTTCAAACAGCCAGTCTATGGCCACACGATTTAACCCAAACAGTCCTGAAAAAAAAAAAAAAGTCTTCTTCATTCAGTTGTTGATGTCTGTGCCACTGTGGAGAATATGAATATGAAGCTGAAAAAGTGCATTCAAAAATATCTGGGGAGTATACATTTCATTTTTATCTGTTTGAAAATAAAGTAACTGAAATATGACTAACTTCCAACTGGGAATTTATTCACTTGAATAAGAACAGCCAGATGCTTGGGACCTTCACACTCCAAACCCAAATCAATTTTTCTTTCTGCCAACAATATCAAAGGACTGGGCAAATTCGCCCAAAGTGCCAGCAACTCAACACTGTGCTAGTTTCCCTAGAAACAGTACGAATGTAACCAAAGGATTTTAACTATGCCTATGCATTAGAGTCCAGTTAACAGTTTGGGTAATTCTCATAGTCTCTAAATTAGCACAGTGTCTTTATAAACGTGGGCAATTTTCTAGGGAAGGGGAGCCTGTTAATTACTAACTTTGCATTAATTAGCAGATGTCTTGAAGCATTTCAGGAAACAAAAAAAAGGCAAGATCATGAATCTTACAGCCCTTTTTTTTTCTACAGTCTCCTTTTACTTCAATGGAGGAAGGTATCACAAGGTCAGGTTCCTAACTAGTTCATTTAGGACACTACATATCTGAAAGGGCAGATAACATTTTTTATCAAGCAGACCCTGGAAGATTTTTAGTTCATCCTTCACACTAGAGTACCTTCACCTCCTAGCTTTTTCTCAGAAAACTGGGCTTTCCTTCTCACTAACTGAACAAGCTTAGATAATAACAAATTCCCATTGCTAGAGGCAGGATTGGTAGTAGGAGAAAATGAACTTTCTAACCAAAGAGTCTTGGGAGGAGCCCTGCAACTGTGCATGTTTGCTCTAAGTTAGAAACACATCAAGGTAATAATGATGACAACGGTAAACATTTCCTGAGCCTTATATTATATCAGGCAATATTCTAAGTGCTTTATCTATGTTTATTTACTTAATTTGCACAACTCCATGATGTAATTACTGTTATTCCTTTTTAATACTTTAGAAAAATCAGGCACTGAGAGGTTAAGTAACTTGCTCACCCCCACACAGGTAGTTATTCCTCCACTAATTTTGATAATTTCCAGACTAATAATCATAATCACATCTTCCTTTAATGGAGCACTCAGAATTCTATCCAAATTATCTTGTTCATGAGCAAATATAAGGATTCTATCTTTTGTGATGCAAACTTCTCACTAGAAATTGACAAATATTACTAACAATGTGTGGTTTTCGAACTGTTCAAAAGTTTGAAAATCTCTGTATCTGTTAATATAATACCTAAAATTACAGGCTGACTCTCAAAGACATGGAGAAAAGTAACTTACCTAAGACAACAAAGCTAATAAATAGCACAACCAAATCAAAGTGCAAGTGTTTTGGAATTATAATAGTATAAATCTGATGTGGATTTTGATAAGTTAAAATATATATTGTAACCTCAAGAGCAGCCACTAAAAAAAAAACCTCAAAAATATAGTTAAAAATTATTAAAAGAATGAAAAAGCTACACTTAAAAATAGCCACTCAAGACAATGAGAGGAACACAGGACAAAAGTAGTCATGAGAAATACAGAAAACAAAAAACAAAATGCTATACAAAAATACAACCATGTCGATAATAACATTAAATATGATCGATTACACAATTGAACCAAAAGGCACAGATTGTAAGAATAAATTAAAAACAGGATCCACCTATATGCTGTCTATAAGATACATGCTTTAGATTCAAGAGCACAAATAGGTTGAAAGTAAAAGGATGGAAAAAGATATACCTTAAAACAACAACCAGAAAAAGGAACTGGAGTGGCTATACTAACGTTGGGCATAATAGATTTTTTAATAAATACCTGTTACTAAGGATAAAGAGAAACATTTTCTAATGATAAAAAGGTCAATCCATCAGGAAGATTTTATGATTATAAATAAATGTGCATTCATACTCAGAGGCACAAAATACATGAAGCAACAATAATTGAAGGGAGAAACAGACAATTCCACAATAATAGTTAGAGAATTCAATACCCACACCCAATAATGACTAGAACAACCACACAAAGGATCAAGAAGAATATAGAATAATTGAACAACACTATACACCTAGACCTAACAAACATTTATAGAGCATTCTAGCAAACAACAGCAAAATATAGTGTGCTTTCTTTT